TCTTTGTTTCCAACTTTTGCATTCCAATCACCAGTGATAATTAACATGTCTTGATTGCACGTTCAGTCAATTTCAGACTGCAGAAGTTGGTAAAAAGTCTTCAATTTCCTCATCTTTGGCTTTGGTAGTTGGTGTGTAAATCTGAGTAATAGTAGTATTAACAGGTCTTCCTTGTAGGTGTATGGATATTATCCTATCACTGACAGCATTGTACTTCAGGAAAAATCTTGAAACATCCTTTGTGAAGATGAATGCCACGCCATTCCTCTTCAAATTGTCATTCCCAGCATAGTAGACTATATGGTTATCTGATCCAAAATGGCCAAAAACGGTCCATTTCAGCTCACTAATGCCTAGGATATCATCTTTATGCATTCCATTTCATTTTTGACCCCTTCCAATTTTCCTAGATTCATACTTCATACATTCCATGTTCGGATTATTAATGGATGCTTGCAGCTGTTTCTCCTCAATCTGAGTCGTGCCACATCAGCAAATGGAAGTCCCACAAGATTTAATTTACCCATATCATTAAGGCTGGCTCTACTCTGATGAGGCAGCTCTTTTCCCAGTCGTATCTTGAGTGTCTTCCAACCTAAGGGGCTCATCTTCCTGTGCTGTATCATACAACGTTTCCAGGCTGTTCATAAAGTTGCCCTGTAATGTATCAGACAGTGTTTCTCTGCTATTCATAAGATTTTCCCTGGCCAGTTCTTTGAGAAGTGGATGGCCTCTTCCTTCTTCCTAGTCTGTCTCAGTCTGTAAGCGGCATTGAAACCTGTGTACCATGTGCAACCCTGCTGGCAAAACCAATTATGTTCCCAAAAAATAGCTAGCATCATAATCCTAACACATAAGTAGCTGAATACAAAAAAAAAAAAAAGAAAAAAACTAAAAATATTACTTAAATACCAAAATCTAAAACAGCGTACCTTCGTAGCACTTCATCACAGGTGAGTTCCCGATAAAGATGAACTTTACTACTTGTCAAAAGTAATTTTTCCTCAGTGTTAAAATATCTGGGAAAACGAGATTCTGCTATCTCGACCAGTCTGTGGGGGGAATGAAAAGCACAGGTGAAAACTGTCAATGATATTGAAATCCACATTGCTGATCTTCTCACAAATTTTACTTAAGAAACTCTTAAACCACAAGTAACACGAGAACAAAAACCTTATCAATGAGGAGCAGATACAAGTTTAGAATATAAATCCACCTTTTAAAGCATGAACAAAAGTCAGCAGTCAGAGCATGAGACCAGTAAGGGTTTTTAGATCTCATCTAATCTTAAGGAGGGAACAATGTCTCTTAGATTTATCTTTTTGAAAGTATGTTTTCTATGAATGACATTTTGACTAACAGCTCCAATATATATTTAATAAATAAGAAATAGTTTCATTTTCTTGAATAAGAGAAATATATTTCAAAAAATATGGCATATTATCATCCCAAATAATCAGATATCAGTAAGTCTTCATGTCTCAATCCAGAAAAATATGCTTTCCCAATTAAAACTTAATTCATACAAGCAAATGCTATACAATAACAGTTCCTTGGTAAATAGGAAATTATATTCTAAACAAATGAATGTATTCAATGGTTCCTTAATAAACAAAAATTACTTTTAAACACTGAATTTTGGCTTCAAAACTAGATCTAATATGAGGGATAGGCCAAGCAAAGGAGTGTGACAAGTTGAAAAGATGCAACTATCTTCACAAATACCACAACACATGAGAGAATAACAAAAAAGTTCAATATATTTAAGAAAAAAAATATATATATACATATATATATCTAAGTGTAACTATCTCCTATTTAAAATGATATATTATCAGCTCTAATACTTAATCATCCAAGGAGGAGATGGGACTGTAAACACTAAAACTGTCCTAAAGCTTATGTTCTGCATAAAAGAAAAAAAGAGCAGTGTTTTCATTTCTAAGTAGTTAGAGAACTACAAGAAGAGGTTAAGAACTTTAAAGAGGTAAACAAAATAAGTTCCTTACATACACTATAATCAGAAACAAAAGAGAATAGCCTTAAAAAATGGAAAAGAGAAGGGAGAAATAAAAAAGAACAAGTCAGCAACTTTTTAGTATGT